ATGTATGTATATATATATATGTATGTATGTATATATATATACATATGTATGTATGTATGTATGTATATATATGTGTGTATGTATGTATGTATGTATGTATGTATGTATGTATGTATGTATGTATGTATGTGTGTCTAACAATAATAATGATAAAATATACTATGATGATTGAGTTTGACATTTGATAAAAATTAAAGCAATTTCAATTTTCGATGCATTTAACGTCCTCTGTTAGGAGGTGACATTATGACTCCTAGGGGTGCTCACGGTTCAGGTTGATCGGTTTGGAGCCGTTTTAACAACTCAACCCAATGTTGGCGGTTTGAAAATTTTCAACCCAACCTAACCCAACCCGTTCGGGTTGATCGGGTTGATTTTAAACAATGTAAAATCATATAAAAATAAAGAAAACTTTCATTTGAAATACGACCGACCGTTCAAGATAATATGCAAGTTCATCAAATATTTAGATATTACAATGAAAATGTTTAAGCCAAATGATAATACATCAATCAACAACAATAGTTTAAGACGTTTCCAACCCGGATGCTTTCGCTTTCTTGACGTTGAGGTTGGTCATATCATGATTGTCATCTATAATTCAAAGCTAAAGTTAAGGTCAGGTTCATCGAGTTGGTCGGGTTTTTTTGAGTTGGTCGGGTTCATCGGGTTTTTGAGCACCTTAATGGCCACCCATGAATAACTTTAGACGTGTAGTGTCCCACTACCATCCGACATCTGCCATTGCACCTGGTTTGGTCTTACTCCATTTATTTAACTCAACATACATACAAAGGGTTGTTAAACTTTATATCTTTTATAGATAAAATGGATATTGTTATATTTCTATTTTATTTTTTAATTGAATATTTAAATAAAATAAGTTATTATATATATACATATATATATATATATATATATATATGGGTTTTTATTAAAATTAATAAATTTATGATAACTTTAAGAATCGTTGCATTGTTTTTTATTCTTTCCTCACTCTCATCCACCTTATAAAAGGGGGTATGAATTAGTGATGGATAAAAATCCGACCAACCAAACCTGAAATAAGCTGGCTCGAAGCCATCAAATGTCTGATCGAGTTGCAGAATCTTAAAACCATAAAAAATGGGGTTATGGTCGTTTGAACCTAACTCACCCCGATGAATCATATCTGGTAAGACTTCAGAGGCATGACAACAACTACGGTTCTTATACGGTAATGAGGGATAAAACTTTACCAGATTAATGCTTACCGGGTATGAGACATTTACAAATAATTCATTTTGATAATCAGTAATTTTACCTGACATCAGTGGCGGGCTTAGCTTTAAGGATGTGGAGGAAGGCCCGACTCAAATGTCTATTTTTCAATCTAATGCAAGTAAACGATTTACTCTTTTATGTTCATAGTTCTCCTGATCATCTTTGACGGTTCCACCCAACGGCACAACCTGTTTTGACAAAAAAAAAAACCTTCCCCCCTTGACGTGTATTGTTACTGCTAGTTTTGCAATCATGCTATAATGATAATGTTGGTTGATGTTTTGTTACATAAATATCAATTTCTCGTTCTTTTAGTTTAAAAATAAATCAATTCACCTGATGTTAATTTTATAAATGTTCAAACCAATTCATCTAGAAAGAAATTATATAAATTAAATAATAATATGATTTGCTATCGGTTAACTGATATGGTACAAAATTGAAATTTAACTTATTTGGTTAACTCGCAAACTGAATAACCCGCAAAACCATTTTGGTTCGGATGAGTTATTCGGTTTCAAAAAAAAATTCTATCAAGAATCTTCAGTCACCTAAGTTTATGAATCTGCCAGTTAAGTAAGTAAAATAACACAAACCATAAATGTGATGCATGATTGGTTTGAGCTTGGATTCTAAAGATCAAAAATGTCTAGAGGTTTCAAGTTCAAATCTAAATAATAATAAAAATCTTTTTATGCCGACAAAAGTTCGAATACGATGACTCCAGACCACCTATTTTAGCACCTGCAAAACAGGTAGATTATTCAACTCATATGAGGGTCCAGACCACCTATTTTACTACCTGCAAAACAGGTAGATTATTCAACTCATATGAGGGTTTGGATATGGATGTTAATTAAAAAAAACACATGTGTTGACAAACATGGCCTAATTGAATGATTGGGCATGAGAATCCTAAGCTTTTTAGCCTAATTCAGCACGTGATGGAATAGTTGGAAAGTAGGCAATACACTCGTTTTGAATAATTCAAGTAGGGAATGGTGCACGTGCATCATGTGTGGATAAAGGATGCCATACACAAATAATCTTTAAAATAAATATATAATAATAATAAAACAATTTTAAAATTGTTAAAAAAAAATATTTTTTTTATCTTTAATTAAAGAAAATTATATATTTATTATTTTATAATTAAAAATAAAATTAAAGAACTGTTATTTCTAGAAACAGATGATTCCACTGTCTCAAATTAAATATCCGCAATAAAAAAATTATATAATTTTAGAGGTATATAACTATTAAACTTTTTAACTACCAAAAAGACAATTTTACACTGTTTGAAAGTTGTTGAATGATTATGTGGTCATAATGATTAAACTACTCTCATAATATAATGAAAAATAAAATATTTGGTAATTGTTTACAATAAAATTAGGATGCTGAATGGTTATGGGATACCCATAATACAAAATCATTCAGAGAGTTTTAGAACTATTAATTAGCATGCATTTTTTTGCCAAACAAGATTCATTTTTTAACGATTCAGATACTGTCTTTTAATAGAACTATTAAGAAGTAAACAAACAACTCCTAATTATAAACAAAATTTCATAGTTAAGGGTAAAATGAGAAAAGTAAATATTTATTTTTAAAAATGTACATTTTTTCGGGACAAATTAAAATAGTAACATAGATATTTATTTTAAAACAAATTAGATATAAAGTTATAGTCTCGAGAAATGCAAGGTCCAACTACCTTAACAAGTGTTCGTCTTCGAGAATAAAAATAAAATAAAAAGGGACTAAAATAATATATTTATTGGATCTAAAAATATTATGGCAAATTGTATGAAAAAGTAACATATATTTACTTGATTCTTATATTGGGTAACATATTTTTAAAACATTTGTTTTGATACCTAAAATGTAAAGTTTCAAATATTTAAGTATATAAGTAACCGGTTTAAATTTTAATCGATTACCAACGTTGATGCGATATTCAACTCAATATTATTTAGATAGTGATATGGATTATTTTTAAACCTAAATCATTTGTAAATTTATTTATTTATTAGAATTTATTTTTGTGAAATATATAATTTACAAATAGTTATAATATATAGATTCTAATAAAATAAGTAAAATTTTAAATTTAAAAATTCCATTTCGCTAGGCATGTTTGCAAATAATATTGAATTGGATGTCAAATCATCTGCCATATCAGTTACCCGAGTATTTAAATGTTTAAAACTTTACATATTAGGTACCAAAATGATAGTTTTGAAAGTACGTGAATCAAGTTAAAAGTACATTATTTTTTCATGCAATTTGCCATTCTAAATTTGTTATTTAATGTTACAAGTGTTTTTAAGGTTTATGTTTATATTTCAATTTTGACTGACAATCCGTTGATCTTGTAATATTTAATAACAAGAATTTCAAATTTATCTCCATTTCGTCATGACCATTTTACAGACTTTTTGTAAACAAGTGTTTACACGATCAAATGTTACAAATCAACAACCAACTGATTAAAATATATATATAAAATAGAAAATTTTCAAACTTTCTAAAACTAAAACTAATTTTTGTTCAGAAACATAATAAATCTAAAACTAAAAGATAAAAAGTAAGAAAATAATACAAAAATGACTCGAACCAATTCTACCAAAAAAATAATGTGGTCGCACATTTCACGACTCTGATATTTCTTATACTACGCCAGAGGAACGAAGTGGTATACGCCATAGTGGGTCCAGGTCCAGGTCCACCCCCTAGGTAATGATAAACTTGTCATCTACATCATCAAATGTAACAAAGTTTGGTTAATTGGATACAAAATGCGAAACTGTTAAAATTTACTTAGGGTCATTTACCAAATGCTTGTCGTTAAAAGTCATCACCTTCATTTACCTTGTCAGTTACCATTCTTAGTCTTAGATATCAAAACTGATTGTTTATAAGCATCTATTATTCGATAAACATTTACTGAATAAAAATTATGTCTTATCAGATAAAATAGCATACCATTTAATATATATATATATATATATATATAGACTTGGGATCATGTGAGACCAATAGTTTTTCGTGAGACCCGTAAGACCAATTCTCAACCCTTGGATTAGATCTACAATCGTCAGATCTGAACATTCATAAACGCCACGAGACTTCTCAATAATTACAAAATTGTCACCGTGCAACTTTAGACCGTTATCATATGCTTATAAAGTTGATCAATGAACATAAATTGGTCTTACGGGTCTCACGAAAAACTCTTAATCTCACGTGAACCCAACCATATATATATATACATGGATATAACTTTTTGAAGTGACCCACTGTCCCACTACCATCCAGCATTTGCCATGGTACCCACATTGGTCTAGTCCATTTATTTAACTAAAAACGAGCTCCAAGCTTATTGTCACATACAAAAGAACGTTTTTATATATATATATATATATATATCTTGAGAAAATTTTATTTTAATGTACATGGATATAACTTTTTGAAGGGACCCACTGTACCATCCAGCATTTGCCGTTGTAACCACATTGGTCTAGTCTATTTATTTAACTAAAATTAGCTCCAAGATTTATTATATCACATACAAAATAATGTTTATATATATATATATATATATATATATATTTGTAGAGTTAAGGTGAAAAAAGTAAAAAAAGCTTCTCCATTCTTGGACGCTCGTTAGGATGAGATGTACCGAGACATACTAGATCAATCCCCGTATCAAATGCGACTCATGAGTGGATATGAGATTAAAGGTAACCAATGGTCCAAATTCCTTCTTACGCTCTCGTCTTAACCCTCATTCTCACATGATTATTCGCCTATATTTGTATATGTATGTATGAGTCTTCATTTGAGAATCTATAAAATTGTGATAACCTTAAAAACCGTTGCATGATTTTTTATCTTTTCCTCACTAGCATACCCTCCGTTATCTCAATAATTACATACAAATCTCTAGAACATAGAGAAACAGGATGCCCATGACGTGTAGGTGTCGGATAAACCAAATCCTCATAGAGAGGCTTTAGGTTTTCCTAATGGAATAGTTGTAAAATGGATATTTCCTTATTTAAATAATCCAAAGTGGGTACTGGTGCACGTGAATCATTTTTGGATCATGGGTTTATTTATTGGCGACCATTCGAATAATTTCAGAATCCAAACAAAAATATATTCTCCAAGATATATCAAAAAAAAAAAAATGCAATTTTAAAATTATATAATAATTATATATTTTAAAAAAAAATAAAAGAAATATATAATAATACATAATACAATACGAAGGAAGCTCAAAATACGTAACAAGACAAAGGGAAATACGAGAATCCTATTTGTACCTCTTAATAGTTTTATTAAGAGGCAACATCTGAATCGTTAAAAGGTGAATCTTGTTTGGTAAAAAAAGGTCCGTCTCTTAATGGTTCTAAAGGGGTGTTTGGGATTGCTTATAAATTTTTTTTTTTAACTTATTTTAGTCTGGCACCGGTGATAAGCTGTTTTTTGGTATTTGGATAAGAACAAAAAACTGCTTATACCGGTGCTAAACCGGTAATAAGCTGTTTTTGATAAGTTAATCCTTCATGACTTATGAAAAAATGGTTATTACCAGTTTACAATTTTAACCATGTTTTATTTAACTCCGGTTTAATACCACATAAGTTAATAAACACTTTTACAAAAAAACATAAGTTGTTTTAAATAAGCAATCACAAACACCTCCTAAAACCATCTGAATGATTTTGTATCATGGGTCTCCCTTAACTATTCAGAACCTTATTCCATTGTAAATAATTACCAAATATATTCCATTTTTCATTATATCAATAATTCTGTCCACTTAATCATTTTACACCAAATCATTCAGCAACCGTCAAACAATCGATATAGAAAAAGTCAATGGTGATGTAAAAGAATACAACAAGAGGTAATTATATCCACAAACTTTAATCACCACAAGCTTGGCATCAGTCTCGAAAATCACCTGTCGTAAACCCGATTCAGTACTCCAGGATAAAGCATCATAAAGGGTCAACGTCTCACATTCACCGTCGGAAGGTAGTTTATGCACCTGCTCAGCTAAAATTGTTTCGTTTAACACAAGAAAACAATAAATTTATTAATCTTATAATTATAAGGTGTGGTTCTGACCATACCCACTCAGTAAGATAAATGACCATTTAAGTAATTTTTTTTGAAGTATATCATATTTATATACGGTAAATAGAACAAATAAATTCACACCCCTTCTCACTTTTGGTGAAGTTTGAACCATTGATCTGCTACGAAGCCAAACATACCACTAAACCAAAAGCCTTTTGATCCCTGTAAATAATTACCCGATAAACATTTGATAAACCACACCTTATAAGTTTATTATTATTATTACAATAGATAATATTTAAAATTACAATGTTGACCTTAAATATTCTCATAAAGAAACACAGCTTTTTCCACCAATGACCGTCCTCACATTTTCTGACACAAACAAAAAAACTGATCTGTAGATCTGAAAATTAACAAACCGAGGGCTGGAATCGAGTGTTGATGCTACACTCTATCGGCAACTTCGCCGGCAAGTATCCGGCGCCCTCCACGACGTCGTTTTCATCCAAACACAAATCCTCCGTCTTCCTCAACACCGTATGAACCACCGTAACCGCCATTCCGATCGAAACAGACAACAATATGTTCATCGTAGCCTCATCCAAAAGCAACAAAACGAAGGTAACAACTGATAAAATGGCCAGGGTAACACGATCATCAATCGTACGGTTACAGATCACTAGAGATTCGTCACGGAGGATGAAGTTGCAAAACAACCAGGACGCAATCGCCAACGCCATTAACGAGATCGGATGCCACAACAAGCTTAGAAACAAAACCATGAACGTAAACAACGTATAATTCATACGAAAGTATCCGACGTTCGTTTTGATCCTCGAAATTGCGTCGGATAAACCGCGAGGAAGATTAATCGAATGTAGATTGAACATCTCTTTCCACAGACGTTTCGTGCCAAATGCTGTTTGGAATCGTTGTTTTGCTGGAGATATGATTAATCGGACCTTCAAGTCTCCGCCGGTTGACGTCGTCGCCATTGTTGCCGGCGGAAGCCGTTACGAGTAGTAGTTGAGAGGAGAGGAAGCCGTTTAGTGGAAATGGAAAGGACAGCGTGAAGCAGAAGTGATGGAGGAGAAATTGAATAAATGATCATGAAGGTGGCATCATGTATTCATGTGTTTCATGCTGCAATTTGTTTCTTAAAAACTATTCAAGTTGTACGGCAATTTGTTTCACATGCACAAATTCATTTATTATGATAAACTACAAGAGTACTCGTGCAATGCAGTGAGATACATCGTGATTTTAATATTTTATTTTATTTTT